TCAAGTCAAACTTCTAATACATCTTCTCGTAGAAGAAGAAATAGATCGATTGCTAGTTTAATTGATGAAGAATCTATTTCTACTTCAAGACCATTAACATCTCATAATACAAGAAGTAGATTTCAAGATTCACAAAATTCTATTTTGGATACATTTTATCAATTTGGAATTCAAGAAGAAACAGGAAAACTATCAACATCAACCTCCGCTAGGCAGAACATTGAACATGAATCTGATGATGAATATCAAGAGGATTTTGATTCTACTTTTTTACCTTGAAGATGTGTAAGAAAGTTCACAAATCGTCACAAATCTGATATAAATTCTTCTGAAGATTCTGAAATCAAAGCTAATCAACCTTCATAATCTTTTGAATTTACTACTGAAGAAGATGAAGTTACAAATGAATCCGATGATAGTGAATCTGATGATAATGGTGATTTTGAAATATTTGAGGATTATGTACCACCAGATTATGAGCCATTTCGAGATCCACCAAGTACAGAATCAATTGATGATGACCAATTTTTATGGATATTAATTTGGATCATGTCATTTCGGATATTTAACATTACAGAGTCTGCAACTGAGGCTTTGATAAAATTTATGAAATTGGTTTTAACAGAAATCGGAGCTGATGATTTCAAAGACTTTTCAAATTCAATATTCTTAACAAAGAAGACATTTGGAATAAAAGACAGATTTCAACATTTTGTTCTTTGTTCCAAATGTCATAAACTGTACTAAAAATAGGAAGTGGTAAATTTTAGACAAGATAATATGTTAACTATAATGAAATGTCGACATGTAGAATTCCCAATTCGTCAATTCGCAAATTGCGCTTTTGCAATATACTATTATCTCAAAAAATTGCTGTATTAACAAATTGAACAGTAATTCAACCTAATTTAATCTTTCCTTTTTGTGGAATATGACAACAACTCGCTTCTATATATCGTTGGCCTCATTTTAAAATTAATTTGAGACATTAGGCGAATCGTCAGCATTTTGACAATATTATAACTAACATATATAATAGTCAAGTATAGCAGATGTTAAAAGAATCTTCTGAGAATAATTCACCAAAATTTTTTCGAGATGAAGTGGCTGATTCTCACCTTAGATTAATGCTGAATCTTGACTGGTTTCAACCATATAATGGTACTGTTTATAGCATTGGAGTAATATATGCTGCTATATGCAATTTACCATGTGATATACAATTCAAACGTGAAAATTTACTGACTCTCAGTCTTTTACCCGGGCTAAGCGAAGTCAGTTTACATAAAATTAATCACTATCTAGCGCCAATCGTTGATGAATTGGAATCTCTTTGGAATGGAATAACAATAAATCAAACAAATGAATGTAAAAATGGTAAAAGGATTTATGCAGCATTAATCCTAGTTTCATGTGATATTCCTGTGGCAAGAAAAATTTATGGTCATGTTTCAGCATTAGTGGCATATTATAGATGTAAAAAGAAGGCAAATTATGAAAATCGGCAGCATAATTTTGCTGGAATAGATAATTTCGATGATTGGTTCTTTATGCGAGATTTAATTAAATATCGCTAGAATACTTTAGAATGGAGATATTGCAATTCAGACGCTTCACAAAAGTAATTTGTAAAACAAAATGGTGTAAGATGGTCTGAATTATTACGTTTACCATATTTAATCCTATAAAATTTATTACAATTGATCCAATGCATTGCTTATTTTTAGGCATTGCACGATGGATAGTAAAACGGATC